GACCCTCTACGGCCTCAGCGCCAACACCCTCAGCAGCTCCAGCTCCAGTCGTACCCGCAGGCCTAGCAGCTCCAGTACTCCCAGTACGAGCACTTCCGGGACCTGCGGCACCAGCACCCTCAGTAGCCGAAGAACCTCCAGCTCCAGCAGCCGCCTCCAGCGCCGGGCAAACCACTCACGCAGCTCTTGTGGAGAGAGTGGCTCCCGCCGAGACGAAGCATCCGGAGAACCTCCAGGCCCAGCACCGCCAGACGCCACACGAGCAGGCCAAGCTCCCGCAAGCTCCGCACCCCTAGGCTCAGCAACTCCAGGCGTAGCACCCCCAGGCTTAGCACCCCCAGGCTCAGCAACCCCAGGCTCAGCACCCTCAGTGGTAGCACCCCCAGGCTCAGCACCCCGAGGCTCAGCACCCCCAATAGTAGCACCCTCAGGCTCAGCTCCACTAGGCGTAGCACCCACACGCTCAGCACCCCCAGAGTCAGCACCCCTAGGCTCAACACCCTCAGCAACACCAGAGTCATCAGTAACCTCGACAGGCTCAACTGCGTCTACCTGGGACACACCTGAAGGGGCAGGACCCTGAGTGGGGAGGGGGTCTACCGGGGGGGGACCTGGCACAAGGAAGAGCGGTGGCGGGGGGAGGGACGGAGTGCGGTAGGGGAAGAGGCGGTAGTAGGGGACCGACTCGTCAAACTTGACGTCCTAGGAGGACAAAACACGGCGAGAGGTGGGGTGGTAGAACTGCCACCCTGGCGCGTCAGGGGGGAAGCCAAGGAAGACGCAAGGAGCAGCACGAGGGGACAGCTTGTCCGCAGACAAGTCGTGGACAAACGCCCGAGATCCCCAGACACGGAACGCAGACGCATCGCCAACCTTCCCCGTCCACAGCAAAGCTGGGGAGGTCTCCGGCATGGAGACCCTGGGGTGAAGGTTGATCTGATGCGCCGCGTACCGAATCGCAAACGGCCACAGAAAATGGGGGGCAGCCGCATCCATCATGGACGTACGGGCAACGTCCATGACCATGCCAAGGCGGCGCTCAGCAATCCCATTTTGCTGCGGAGAGTCCGGAAGCGTGAAGGTCTGGTGGATGCCTCGTGCACGACATTATGCTCGCAGAAGGCCAGAGGAGAACTCTCCGCCTCTGTCAGAGTGCATACGCAGAACAGGAAAGTCCGAGCCAAAACTCTGCCTGAGCTGGAGACGAGCTGCGCGGATCCAGTCGATCAACACCGCAGTGACATCACCCTTGATGCGCAAGGGGAAGACTGTGGTGTAACGCGAGTAGTCGTCAACCACCAGCAGGAAGTAGCGCTCATGACCATGTCCACAGACGCAGGCCGGGCCCCACACGTCCATGTGAAGCGTCTGCAGCGGGGCCTCTGTCGGAGGAAACTGGGAGGAGTGAGGGGCAGCCCGCTGCCGCCCCTCGACACAGGGGACGCAGGTAGGGCCAGGCCCTGGAGGAAGGGGAGGGAGGGACTGGGGAAGACCAGAGACAAGGACACGGGAGGCCATGCTTCGGAGACGAAGCAGGGAGGGGTGACCAAGACGGTGGTGCCAGAGGAGAGTCTGGTGAGACAGGAGGCGACACAAGCAGGGGGCAGACTTAGGACCAGACCTGGACGCTGCAGCAAACACCTGACCCGACGCAGCTACCTGACCAGACGCAGTGACTGGAGGAGACACAGTGGTCAGTGTGTACAGGCTCGACCCCGGCCGACGTGTAAACGTGGCCAGGTGTCGGCCTGTTCGAGCGTTCGTGCAGTGGGTCACCCGCTAACTCGCAGGAGTGAACTGGTGAACCCCCGCATCCTGTAGGTCAGCACCACTCACCAAGTTCGTAGAGAACGAGGGGAGGTAAAGACCAGACAGGGTGCCAGAGGGGGCCGCCGGACACGGGAGGACAGTGGAGAAGTGAGCAAGGTCAGATCCCCCAGAGGGGTCTGCCAGAGAGACTGCAACTGGCCGGCCAAGCGGCGTGAGTGTGGTGCGGTCTCGAAAGAAGGAGCGAGAAGCCCACGAGTCAAGGGTGATGGTGTGGGAGGCCGAAGCTGACGCAGTACCTGAGAGAGCAGACTCACCAGCACCTGAGGGAGCAGACGCACGAGCACCTAGAGCAGCAGCCTCACTAGCACCTAGAGCATCCGCCTCACCAGTACCTAGAGCAGCAGTCTCAATGCCCGGGTCGGGCGGAAAACACCGGTAACAGTCACCCTCATCACTAATAGTCACAGCATACATGGCAGCAAGAATAGCATCAAAGTCAAGGTCAAAGACAGCTACTCCCGCCCTAGACAGCTCGCCCCAGCGGGGGATCTCAGTGGCCTTAGGGAACTGGTGACGCCAAGCGTCCGTCAGGCGGCCAAAGCAGCGCTGGGTGGAGTGCGCACCCCCGCACTGCTCACCCACGCGGTCGCTGGTGCGTAGGACGTAGGTGCACGGACCAGTACCCAACCCCGCTAGCGTGCAGCGTACCATTCACGGAGCTGCTGAGTGGGGGGGATGTCACGAGTGCGCTGCTGCTGTTGCTGGCGCTGACAACCACCGGAGCCGACCCTCTGCGCAGCGCCACCCCGACCTGCTCCACCGCCTCCGCCGCCGCCTCCTCCACCACCGCCACCTCCTGTTGTTCAGGATCCGTCACTTTGAGAGCTTACGACGAACTTAATTCTCAACTAAACGCAAATCCGCTCGGTAGGAAGTTGGGCCTTAGGCTTAGCTACCATCTCCAAGTTGAATCAATTGTTAAGATGGTCTATAGAGTGAGAACTAAGTAAAAACGTCCAGCAGCCGCATGACTAGAATGGTGGAGGAAGTACAAACATTAGAGCATAGGAAGTTGGAGTTGGGAACCTACAAGAGAACCATGAGAGGGAAGGGGTTCTCCAAGAGCTAGGGAAGGATGGTAAGAACCTTCCTAGCAGCAAGGATGCAACCCTCATCATGAGGTCCTTGAGGTGTCACATGCAAAATCCAATCTAGTTGGATTTTGCCTAGGTGTTGCAACATTTGCAACCCATGCTAGAAACTTCTAGCCACCCCAATCCAAAAGTCAAAGTTGGCTTCCTAACCACCCAACCAAAGATCCCTTTATAGTCATGTCCCAAGTAATCACCCAAATTAGATATAACCCCAAAAGGTAATAAGAAATCCAAATCTTGGAAATCTTGTAACTTGGGCAATCTTGGTCGGAATAAGGCGATCTTGGTATCGTTGGAAAGCTCTAGATTTCTCCTGCATGATCAAGCATTTAAACTTGGAGAAAAACACAGAGATGATAATATCCAACAGCCATGCACAATGACATATGCTCATGCAAATCATGCAAGCACAAATAGCACGAGCACTCGGCAGGACGTTAGGATGACATGCACTCAGAATGACGTGCATCCAACAAACTCCCCCTAAGACTAATGGACTGCATGCACACACACTCCGACACATGCATAGTCTCATGCACACAATCACACATGCATTCATGACACTGCTGCCCTCACTAGTGCAATGCCATGCCACACATCTTAGCACACTTCCAATGTGCGCTCTCGGGAAGTCTCTTGGTGAGAAAATCTTCCGCCTGCTTGCTAGCCTTCACATGGTGAAGCTCAACAGCTCCCTCCTTCACCATCTGCCTCACCCAGTGCCACTTAATCTTCATGTGCTTGTTCAGCCCATTCAGGATAGGATTATTGGCCATGCCAATAGCAGCCTCGCTGTCCGAGAAAAGTGGTGTAGGTCCCTCCTGTTCAGCTCCCATGTCCTCCAACAGCTTCCTCAGGAGCACGATCTCTTTGATGGCATGGTACATCGTCATGTACTCTGCCTCTCCGGAAGACTGAGCAATCTCACTCTGCTTCTTGGACCTCCAGCTCACTGGTCCACCTCCGACCATGCACACAAAGCCGCCAACTGATGACTGATCCTCATCCTCTGAGGCCCATGTGGCGTCGGTGAAGCACGACAGCTTCAAGGTACCAGGCGTGACCCCATCTGCTCCAATCTGTTTCAGCTGGCCGCCAGCTGAAAACTGAACACCAGCAGATGCCGTTGATCCAAGGTAGCGCACCAAGCGCTTTGCCACCTCCAACTGCTCCACAGTGGGCCGTTGCACAACTCTGGCCAGCTGCCCCACTCCGAATGAAGCATCAGGTCGCGTATGCACAGCTGCATACATCACACTCCTAATGAGTGACTGGTACTCATTCTGCTGCTCATCCTCAAGCACATCATCCTCCTCTGCTGCCTTCTTCAGTTTGAAGCCTGCAGGGAATGGTGTCATCACAGTGCGACCCCCAGTCACACCATACCGCTCCATGTCACCAGAGATGTAGTGTGACTGATGCACCTTCAGCCACCTCCTCTCAACATCCCTCTCAATCTGCAGCCCCAAGTAGTAGTGGACATCCCCCAGCATCTTGCACTTGAAGTTGTCCATCAGCAGCTTCTGTGTCCTCTCAATCTGCTCCATGGAGGGTGAGAACAGCAGTATGTCATCGACATACACCAGCAGCAAAAGCAACTGCTCCCCCTCTCCAAGCAGAAACAAGCTATGATCCGCCTGGGACGTCTTAAAGCCTCCACCCAGCAGCACCTCCTCCAGCTTCTCGTACCAACACCTGGGTGCTTGCTTAAGGCCATAGATGGCCTTCTTAAGCTTGCACACCCGGCTGGTCCCATCCTCATAGCCGTCGGGCTGCGCCATGTAGATATCCTCCAGCAGTATTCCATTGAGGAATGTAGTGGTGATATCCATCTGCTTCACGTGCCATCCCTTCACAGCTGCGCCAGCCATCAAAGTCCTCAGTGTCAATGGCTTAGCAACGGGAGCGAAGATCTCCCCAAAGTCGACCTTCTCCTTCTGCTGAAACCCCTTGGCGACCAAACGGCTCTTGAACCGCTCCAGCGCACCATCAGCACCACTCTTCACTTTGAAGACCCACTTGCTGCTGATCGGCCGTCGCCCCTCGGGTAACTCAACAAGCTCCCAAGTCCCATTCTCAATGAGACTGTTGAACTCTGCATCCATGGCAGCCCTCCACTCCTCCTTTTGGGGTCCACTGAGTGCCTCCTCCACTGTGGCTGGTTCTCCAGGCAAGGGTGTGAAGAAACAGAACGCCATCTCCTCATCCTCTCCCTCATCCGCCTGAACCGCCATGGCACCTTGCTTGGGTCCTCCCAAACGGCTATACTTCAGCCTTGAGGGTGCTGCTGCCACTCTCTTCTCACGGGTTGCAATCTGCTGCCCATGTGGTGAAGCTCCTTTCTGCACACTCCTCTTGGTGACCTTGGCGTTTGCAGCAGGCTCGGGCTGAGAAGGTGAGTCCACACGTGCCGACTCATCCTCCAACCCCTCCTCCGCAACAGGACCAGCGCCTTGCTGCTCACCACCGCGACTGTGATCACTGGTCAGCTCTGACCCAGGGAGATCCTCAAGGTGCAGCTGAACCTCCTCCACTGCATACCGCTCAATCTCCTGCAGACGCAAGCCAATCTGCACCTGCTGCTGCTGCTGCCAGTCCTTGTACATGACGTCCTCCACAAACTTGACGTCACGGCTGACCAGCGACTTCTTGCTCTTGGGGTCCCACATCAGCCACCCCTTCGAGTCTGGAGCCATCCCAAGATGGACAGCCCACACAGCAGCCACTTCCAGCTTGTGCCTCTGCTCCTTAGGCACCATCACAAGCCCCATGCAGCCCCACACCCGCAGCATGTCAATAGATGGCTTCTTCCCAAGCCAACGCTCGTACGGCACCCAATGCTTGTCGCCAACATGAGTCAAGACCCTGTTCTTGACCGTGATGACATGGTGAACGGCATCAGGCCAGAACTTGTAGGGCATCCCAGCAGCCCCCAACAAGGTCTTAGCCGCCTCGCCAATGGTCCGGTTGGCACGCTCAGCAATGCCGTTCTGCTGCGGTGTTCCAGGGCAGGTCAGCTGATGTCGGATGCCATTTCTCTTGAGGAACTTGGTGAATTCCGCTCCAAGGAACTCTCCACCTCGGTCGCTCCTCAGCACCTTCACCAGCCGCATCGCTTGCCGCTCCACCATCGGCAACCAATCCTCCTTGATTGCCGCTGCAGCATCGCTCTTCTTGGACAAGGGACGCGCCCACGTGAAACGGCTCCATTCGTCCACCATGGTGAGGAAGTAGAGCACTCCCCCAGTCCCCTCAGTCCTCATAGGACCCACCAGGTCCATGTGCACCACCTCCAATGGTGCCTTCGCTGATCCCTCCGCTCGTGGGAACGGGAACCGCGCAAACTTGTTTTGCATGCACGCCTCGCAGCTGCCATAGTGAATGCCATCTCCTTGCAGTTGCAGCCCATGCACGCACTTCTCCTTGTGCATCACCTCCAATGTAGAAACAGCCACGTGTGCGAGCCGCCGATGCCAAGTCTCCCAATCCGCTTGGCCCGAGGTAGCCGACGCCTTCACCGCCGCACTTCCTCCAATCAGCTCCTCTCCTTGCACACCTTGCTGCTCCTCCTCGGTAACGCTCTCCTCCATAGATGCCGCCATTGCCGCCTTGCCCGATTTCCGCCAAGGGAGGACCGGGATCTGCCACATCCGCTTGTGGACATCCCCTTTCCACTGCAGGTCCCAAATCAGCCGCTCATCGTTGTAGGCACGATAGCGCTCCGAGCCAATCGTCTCGGTGTTCACACCCGCATCTCCCAACCGGCCGGTAGAAATCAGGTTCGCGCACAAGTCCGGCACCCACAGCATGTTCTTCAGCCCCACGAGCTCTCCATCCGCTCCCATGAACTTGGCGCATCCCATGCCCATGACCTTGGCCTTGGCGCCCGTCGCGGATGTGACTGTAGAGATGGGTGCGGGCTGAATCTCATCAAGTAGGTCCGCACGGGGAGTCATGTGCCAAGAGCTCCCGGAGTCAATCACCCAATGGGTGAGGGGGTGTAGGAGAACCTTGGCAGCCATAGCGTGGTCGGTTGCGCCTTCGTTCACGAAGAAGAAGAACCCGGCCTTCCGCTCCTCAGATTTGCCGCCTTTCTCCTCATCCTTCTCCTCTCCACTAGCTCCCATGACTCCCCCACTCCTCGTGCCACCACGCTGGTTGCTTGATGAAGGCGGGGTCCAATCCTTGGGTCGTTGGTAGCACTTCCGCCAACGATGTCCGCGCTTCTTGCAGTAGAAGCACACCTCCCCTTGACCCCCGCCGCCATCCTCCTTAGGGTTATCCTTATTCTTGCCCTTCCACTTCTTCTTGAAGCCACTCTTTCCACCTCCAACTCCATAGCCAGCCCCCTCCTCCGAGCGCTCCACACTCCGCCGCCGCAAGTCCTCCTCTAGGATGCGCGCGCGAATGTAATCCACGCTCCATTGGGGTTGTTGGGAGTTGAGGTTGATCGCAAGGGCAGACCATGACTCCGGCAGCCGTATCACGATCTCCACGCATTGCACGAGCTCCGGGTACACCACACCGCCTCCTTGGAGCTTCGTGAAGATGTCGCGCATCTCATCCAACACCGGTTGCATCGGCTCTCCATCAACGAACTTGATGTCGCGCAGCCGCCGCGCGAGTAGCACGATGCCGGTAGCATGTGTCGGTGAGTGCACATCCAGAAGCTTCCTCCAAGCCTTGGGACCACACTCTGGATCACCCAAGAGGTCCTTGATGTGGTCAAGTTGCCGTCCGCCCACCGCTTGCACCATGAGCATATACGCGTCGAACGATCGCTTCATCCACGCTCCTTTCAGCTCCGCGGCCTCCGGCATCTTCTCCTTCCCCTCCACCAAATCCAATAGCTTGTATTGGGTATACATCAGCCTCATGCGGAAACTCCAGTGCTCGTAGTCCTCCCCCATGAATTTCTCAATAGAGAAAGATTTCACAGGATCCACGGTATTAGGAGATGGTGTAGAAGAAGTAGGTAGCGTAGGGTTGGCTGGTTGGTGAGTCCCCACTCCTCCACCAGCAACTCCCCCCAGTTCTCCAGCCTCTCTACTTCTATCCATCTCGCCACTAGCACCTCCGGAGTTCGTACCAACCATATTGAGGCCTTATGAACGGTGGAAACTTGAGAAATCGTTTGGAGAGAATTCTGCCAGAAATTTCGATTCTACAAAAATCGCCGTCGCGGACTGAATACTTCGAATTAGAACGCAAATCGACCAGCAATCGAAAGTTCGCAAGCCGAGCTACTAGAAAATGGTCTCACTCGACAACATTGGTTGAGTATTTACGACGATTCGTCGTCTCAAAGTCGACTACCCGCTCTGATACCACTTGTTGTTCAGGATCCGTCACTTTGAGAGCTTACGACGAACTTAATTCTCAACTAAACGCAAATCCGCTCGATAGGAAGTTGCGCCTTAGGCTTAGCTACCATCTCCAAGTTGAATCAGTTGTTAAGATGGTCTAAAGAGTGAGAAATAAGTAAAAACGTTCAGCAGCCGCATGACTAGAATGGTGGAGGAAGTACAAACATTAGAGCATAGGAAGTTGGAGTTGGGAACCTACAAGAGAACCATGAGAGGGAAGGGGTTCTCCAAGAGCTAGGGAAGGATGGTAAGAACCTTCCTAGCAGCAAGGATGCAACCCTCATCATGAGGTCCTTGAGGTGTCACATGCAAAATCCAATCTAGTTGGATTTTGCCTAGGTGTTGCAACATTTGCAACCCATGCTAGAAACTTCTAGCCACCCCAATCCAAAAGTCAAAGTTGGCTTCCTAACCACCCAACCAAAGATCCCTTTATAGTCATGTCCCAAGTAATCACCCAAATTAGATATAACCCCAAAAGGTAATAAGAAATCCAAATCTTGGAAATCTTGTAACTTGGGCAATCTTGGTCGGAATAAGGCGATCTTGGTATCATTGGAAAGCTCTGGATTTCTCCTGCATGATCAAGCATTTAAACTTGGAGAAAAACACAGAGATGATAATATCCAACAGCCATGCACAATGACATACGCTCATGCAAATCATGCAAGCACAAATAGCACGAGCACTCGGCAGGACGTTAGGATGACATGCACTCAGAATGACGTGCATCCAACACCTCCGCCACCTCCGCTCCCACCGCCACCGCCGCCGCCGCCTCCGCCTCCACTGCCGCCACCGACACCTCCACCCCTACCACCACTCCCACCACCACCCCCACCCCCTCCACTACCTCCACCGCCACCTCCGCCACCCCCGCCAGCCCCTCCAGCACCCTTGCCTCGCTTGCCCTTGCCGGTGCGCCGTCTCCCGCTCGGGGCAGACGCAGCGCCGACCGACTCGAAACCAACGAGGTCGGCCGCAGCAGCAGAGGCAACAGAGGGCAAAAGGGGGGAGGGGGAACACCCCTCAAAGACGGGGGTGCGAGGATCACCACGAGAGGCTCCTACAGCGACTATGCTCTTCTCTGCTGCTAGGAGGGCCTTCTCGAGGAGGTCAACGGTGAGAGTGGTGGGGCAAACTGAGAGGAAGTGGTCCCTGACTACACGAAGGGAGTCAGGGAGCCGGGTGACTATGTAGTAGAGGGTGATGTACATGGGGGGGGGGGGTTCTTGGCGCAGAACTTAGCAGGAAGCGCAGCGCGGTAGCGAGTGTCACTAGTGCGGAGGTGCATAATGAGGTCAGCGACTGTGGGAAAGGCAGCAAGGTCAGGGAAGAGGTACGGTAGCATGAGGCGGCTCAGTGCAGCAGTGGCAGGGGAGGAGTAGCGCGCAACTACAGCGTCGTACAAGGTCTGAGCACTCTTGTACTGGCTAAAGTGCGCACGCTCAGAGGTAGGCAGGTGGCGACGCACAGCAAGACGTGCAGCAGCATCGCGTGTGGCCCACTGTGAGCAAACAGTGGCGTCGGCATCAGCAGCAGGGGCAGGAGAGGCACCAGAGGTGAGGTCAAAGAGGGAGAGACCGTCTGCCCTATCGCACGGTAGGAAAAGCTTGAGGTCATCTACCCAGACGTCAAAGTCAATGGCCCGACCCTCACCGTCAAAAGCGAGGACACTAGGGGTAGCCATGATAGCAGTAGACTAGCAGCGCGAACAGTAGGGTAAGGGCAGTGCAGTGACAGAGGCGCTGCTCTTACCAGACAGGGCGGCTCGGGCGGCTCGGCGGCTCGGCGGCTCGGCAACTCGGCGGCTCGGGCGGCTCGGGCGGCTCGACAGTACGGCGGCTCGGCAGCAACTGCGGCTCGGCAACTCGGCGGCTCGGGCGGCTCGGGTGGCTCGGCGGTACAGCGGCTCGGCAGCAACTGCAGCTTGGCGGCTCGGGGACCCGGCGGCTCGGGCGGCTCAGGTGGCGCGGCGGCTCGGGCGGATCGGGGGGCTCGACAGCAGCTCGGCGGCGCCGGCGGCTCGGTGGTGACGGCGGGGCCGCGTGGGGACGGCGGCGGGGCCGGGTGGAGTGGCAGCGGGGCCAGGTGGAGCGGCGTCGGGGCCAGTAGAGGCGGCGCCGGGGCCGGAAAGGGCAGCTCCGGGGCCGCAGGGGTAGGCGACAGGGCCAGCAGAGGCGGCGCCGAGGCATGGAAGGGCGGCGCCGGGGCCGCAGGGGTAGGCAACGGGGCCAGCAGAGGCGGCGCCGAGGCAGGGAAGGGCGGCGCCGGGGTCGCATGGGTAGGCGACGGGGCCAGCAGAGGCGGCGCCGAGGCAGGGAAGGGCGGCGCCGGGGCCGCAGGGGTAGGCGACGGGGCCGCTAGGGCGGCTAGGAGGGGGGGTTCACGAGGGCGGCTTGAAGAGGCCGCGAGGGCGGCGTGAAAGGGCCGCGAGGGCAGCGCGACGCGACGGAGTCGCAAGGGCGGCGGATTGGGGCCGCGAGGGCGGCGCGACGGGGCCGCTAAGGCGGCGGGACAGGGTCGAAAGGGCGGCGCGACGGGGCCGTGAGAGGGGAGCGCGACTCGGGCAGTGTAGAGCGCGCTCCGGGCAGGAAAAAAAGGTGGTGGGCCCTAGGAACAGTTCCCACAGGGGAACCTGCTCGATACCATGAGAAACTGAACGAGAATGAAATGACTAAGGGAAAGTTGGGTACAAGTACAAACCCTAGAAAGCTATACCCCATATGTGCTACCCCACTATAGCCTACAGTAGCTATGTCATATATATCTGACAAGCAGAACCTGCAGCGGAGTTGGAGACGAACTGCTCGGATCCAAGGGATTAGGACAGCAGGGACCTCACTAGCAGGGGGAAGACCGTGGTGTAACGCGAGTAGTCGTCGACAACTAGCAGAAAGTACCGCTCACCGCCCTGTCCACAAACGCGGGCTGGGCCCCACACGTCCAGGTGGAGGGTCTGCAGAGGAGCCTCTGTCGGGGGAAACGAGGAGGAGTGAGGAACGACGCGCTGCCGCCCCTCGACGCAAGGAAGGCAGGGCGGCGCAGGCAAGGCAGGGAGGGGAGGGAGAGACCTGGGAAGACCAGACACAAGGAGGCGACGGTGCATGCCACAGAGACGTGGCAAGTAGGGGTGACCCAGGCGGTGGTGCCAGAGAAGAGTCTGGTGTGACAGGGAGCGACACTCACAGGGGGAGGCTACCAGACCTGACGCAGACACCTGATCGGCAGCAGCTACCTGAGGAGACACAGTCTTCAGTGTGTAAAGACTCGACCCTGGCCGACGGGTGAATGTGGCCAGGTGACGGCTAGTCCATTTTTGGTGGACATATGTACACTACACGCATACATACATCCGCAGTCGTAACTGATGCTAGGAGGTTATGAAAAGGGTCACAAGGAACCAAGGCCCCCCCTATCCCTTAACGGAGGCTCGAAAGCTACACCGCCATCTTCCCAGATCGCCTTAAAACCTGCCCTCCACGTCATCGAAGCTTCTTCCTCGTAAAGTCTGCGCATAGCACTTGCTTCGTCAGCGTTCAAGTGGCCCAAGTCGCCTACCCTTTTTGGACCACCTCTGCCAGCCATCCTCTTCCGCGCTCTACTGTAGATCTTCACGTGCCTTGTAAAACCAACTACTATGCGCCTGAGTGCCCTTTTTGGCTAAAACCGGCTGCCTCGGAACACCGCATTGCATCTCTCCAACCACACTTGTTGCGCTGTAATAGAAATAATTGCAGCTTCCGGAAAACCGGACGACGTGCCACTCTTCTGAAAGAGCATGTCCCCAAGTGATCTCATGTCCCTGCCTGGGCTCATGCACTGCACCGCCTTTTTCATCACCTCCACCACTGGCTGCATCACCGGGCAGCTGAATAAGCAATGGTCTTGCGACTCCACTCCGCTGCAGTGCGTGCATTTCGCTCTCGCGCCCATGAAAGGCAACCTCTCCCCCACTTGGAGGTTGTTACTGTGCACCCTCAGAACCACCTCGCGTGCCCTGCATGGGGTTGCCAGCGAGTCACGGACCTTGATGGCCTTTCCCCAGTCGACCTTCCTCCCCAACGTCTCTTCCCACTGCAGCTGCTGCTTGGGCTCGGTCGAGGAGAGTTTCATCGCCTTCCTCAGCTGTTTCATCTCGGCCCGTTCGCCTTTCTCACAGATTGGAGAGTGGAGTAGGCGCGTTCTTGGGGCGCCGAGTGGGCCTCGGACCCTTCCTACTATGACCGCCATAGGTGTGGCGAGCAAAAAGTCCACAGTTACCATGCTAGCATACTGCATCTCCGATATGTGCCCCTTCTTATCCACAGTCACCCTCCTTTGGTATAGTACTCCCTCGTTCACGAAATCTAATTGATAGTAGAAGTGCTCCCTTGGGCGGTACGACTGCAGGTGAACCAGACCCGTCTCCCTGAAGACCTCCTCTGACGGCCAGTCCCGGAGCACGTACAGATCGCCACACGCTGTCCTCTAGGGGCAAAGTTGTCAATCCAATGATCTTGGAGGACGGCGTTGCTCACCAAGTTCGTCGAGAACGAGGGGAGGTGGAGACCTGACAGTGAGCCAGACGGAACCGCCGGGCACGGAAGCACAATGGTGGACCGTGCAAGAACTGGGCCCCCTAAGGGATCAGCCAGAGAGACTGCAACAGGTGCAGGGAGTGGTGTGAGTGTGGTACTGTCACGGAAGAAGCAGCGGGAAGCACCTGAGTCAAGCGTGAAGGTGAGCAAGGCCTCAGCAGGCGCAGTACCTGAGAGAGCAGACTCACCAGCACCTAAGGCAGCAGCCTCACTAGCACCTAGAGCAGCAACCTCTATACCGGGGTCATACTGCACACACAAGTAACAGTCACTCTCAGCACCACCAGGCAAAGCAGACATGGCAGTAAGGATGTTGTCATAGTCTAAAGCAAATACATCAACGCCCGACCTAAGCAGCTCAAGCCAGTGGGGGGTCTCAGCCTCGTCGCAAATCTCTACGTGCCAGGCGTCAGTCAAATAGGCAAAGCAGCGGGACTGTGCGTGACCAGGTGCCCCACTGGTCTGATTAGCTCGACGACCTGTGCGAATGACGTACGGACAACGACCAGGACCCGGAGACGTCCCATGCTAGTAAAGCCACTCACGAAGCTACTAGGGCGTAAGGGTCGGACGCCGCCGTAGCTGCATCTTGCCACCGCTAGGGACTCCACACCACACAGCTCCACAGTGACTGCTAATACGGCCGCCACGTCTCCCACTGCTATGACCACCGCTGTCACCACTCCCACCGCGACTACAAAGTGAAGTCATGGCGGGCAAGCTAGGAGGAGCGCGACCTCTAGGGCAGTACTTAGTGAAGGCAGTAGTACGAGTAGCAGCAGTAGTAAGATGAACTGCAGAGTGGCTCGTGAGGCTAGGCTGCAGCACCTCCAGCACTCCTAGCAGCACCTCCACCAGCAGCAGCAGTAGCACGAGAATAAGGGCGGATCGTGTCGGGTGGCGCGGCTCGGCCTGGGCGGCGCGGGCAGCAGGGCGCGCGCTGTGGAGGGCAGCAGGGCGCGGCGCGTTGGCTGCAGTTGGGCGCGACGCGCAGGGCAGCAGGGCGCGACGCGCGGGCTGCAGAAGAGCGCGACGCGCGGGCTGCCGTAGGGCGCGACGCGCGGGGCAGCAGCGTGCGACGGGCGGGCTGCCGTAGGGCGCGAAGCACGGGGCAGCAAAGCACGACACGCGGGCCAGCAGCGCGCGACGTGCGTGCTGCCGTAGAGCGCGACGCGCAGGGCAGCAGAGCGCGACACGCAAGCTGCCATAGGGCGCGACGCGCAGGGCAGCAGGGCCCGACGTGCAGCTGCCGCAGGGCGCGGGCTGCAGCAGGACGCAGGGCAGGGCACTGACACAGGATGGGGCGCTGGCGCTGGGCAGGGCGCTGGCGCAGGGCAGGGCGCTGGCGCAGGGCAGGGCGCTGGTGCAAGGCAGGGCGCTGGCGCAGCGCAAGGCGCTGGCGCAGGACAGGCGCTGGCGCAGAGCAGGCGCAAAGCAGGGCGCTGGCGCAGGGCAGGGTGCTGGCGCAGGGCAGGGCGCTGGCGCAGGGCAGGGTGCTGGCACAAGGCAGGGCGCTGGCGCAGGGCAGGGCGCTGGCGCAGGGCAGGGCGGTGGCGTTGGGCACGCGCTGGCGCAGAGCAGGGCAAGGCGCTGGCGCAGGGCAGGGCGCTAGCGCAGGGCAGGGAGCTGGCGCAGGGCAGGACGCTGACGCAGGGCAGGGCACTGGCGCAGGGCAAGGCGCTAGCGCAGGGCAGGTGCTGGCGCAGGGCAGGCGCTGGCGCAGAGTAGGGCAGGGCACTGGCGCAGGGCAGGGCGCTGGCGCAGAGCAAGGCGCTGGCGCAGGGCAGGGCGCCAGTGCGCGCAGGGCGGGCAGGGCAGGGCGCGCGCTGACAGCGCAGCGCAGGGCAGGGCTTGGGGTAACGCGGTAACCGTAGTTGATCATTAGGTAATGGTGGGCCCGAAAAAAAAAACGGTCCTACGGACCTACTGCTTGTTAAAGTTTCTAGCAAGGCTTAGGAGCCATGGCTAGTTAGATCGAGTGAGTTGAGTTGGAGAAAGTTGAAAAGGAGAAAAGAGTCGAGAGAATGAGGGTTCAATAATAGCAAAGAGATACAACATATAGTCAAGAAACTAGAGGTGCACCACCAAACAGAAGACAAGATAAATACAC